AATGACCTATACAATCTAAAATTCTGAATGCTGAGTAATCTAAGATTTGATAAATAAAACATTTTCAATTGGTTCTAGACAACTGAATATTTATTTTGTGATAACCATTAATTGAGCATCTGTTATATTTAATTAATAATATATTAAGTTGGAACTCTATAACAGAATTCATAATTGGATATAATATTTGTATTCATTTCTTTGCATCTTTTGTTAACTTTGAAATTGAACATAATGAGAAAAGTACATATGACAAATACATGATTTAATAAATAATTATAAACTGAACATCCCTGTAATTACCATTTAACTAAATCAAGACTTGGTATTACTAGTACCCAGATGTCTCTTGTATGCTTGTATGTTACCTTTCAGTTCACTAAGCCCCACCTTAAATGTAATTCTTAGCCTGGATTTTGAGTATTATTCATGATTCTCTTTATAATACTTGTGTGTGCATCTTTAACTGATATATATCTATATCTATATCTGTATTTTTTTTTCTTTACAATATATGCCATCTTTAATTAAGTTGATATTAACAGTTAAAAAGACAGTGAGAAGATGACCGCTAGGAAAATAAGATCGACTATGACCATAAAGTTTAAAATATAAAAAAGTAGTGAAGAACAATTTGCTTTTTGTAATTGAAGAGAAAAGACCTATCAGTCTTCCCGGTTCTTGGACAAGCAGAGACCTCAAAATAATTCTTATATAAGAAGCACCAAAAAGAAATCATCGATATTTTTGTGTAGACTTTTTTGTTTGACAACATTATTTGGGCAACTCTGCCCAGTCAGGGATGAGGAAACACATGGTAAAAACAAACAAACAAAAACAATGTTAAAATAGGGGGGTATGTCGTTTTAAGAGTGTTTTGGAGAAAGCTGTTGTTGTTTGCCATCAAGTCACTCTGACTCATAGCAACCCTGAGTAGGGTTTTCCAAGGAGCAGCTGGTGGGTTTGAACTGCTGACCCTGTAGTTAGCAGTCCAATTGCTCCATAGACATTGTAATTTGGCATATCAAAAACATTTAAAATTCTTATTCCTGTGACTAAATAGCAATCTTTTTTTTTTTTTTAAGTTGATTAAGAAAATAGGAGATAAGACTTAAAATAGCTTTACTCTCTGAAGTAACATGATGTGAGTATAAATTCTCCCACTTTAACAGCTATGGATATACAGATATATGCTATCTGTATATCTAGGCTTTCTTTTGTTTTTTGTTTTTTCTGTGTGTGTGTGAAGAATGAGTCATGCCAGGTCACATTTAAATGACCCAACAGTCTGAGCGAAAAGGCTGTTTACATGATATACACATTCTTTACTTACAGAGCAATATAAGCTTAAACACTCTTATATTAAAAACCTGGGATACAGTATGTATTATTATTTTTAACCCAATATTGTATTGGTGGGATTATATGAGAATATGTTTGGCTTTAGTGTGACCATTTTTTGTGTTATATACTTCCGTTATGTAAGTAACACCGCCATAGTTTATTTATCTATTGCACTGTGTACAGATCTGCACTACTTTCAGATTGTAGAAATTAAAAACATTGATATTGTGAACATTCTTGAACATACTCTATAAACATGTACACAAGCTACTCTGGGGTGTACCATAGGAATGGAATTGTTGAGTAATAAGGTCTTCAAAAAGTTCATGGGAAAATAGATTAAAGTATTATGGGTTTTTTTCCCACAAACTTTTTGAAGTCTCCTTGTGTGTTCAGCTTTAGTAATTACAGTGTGAAATGGTATTCTTAAATGACTTTACTACTTTAATGTCCCACCAATTGTATATATTTTTGTTTAATTCATGGCCTTGCTTTCATACTGATACTACAT